TCAGCTAACTTGAATATTTGCAGATAAATTACAAATGAATTAAATTACTAGCTAGTCTTACAGAGAGTAGTCAGTCAGATGTTTGTATTTTTCTCTCCCTAAAAGTCTAACGCAAGTTAAAGATGTCAACAACTTATTATATCAAGTACTTCTATGCGATGATTTTTAGCTTTAAATAAAGCAACAGAGTAAATTATATATCACTATTTTTAAACTAGCTTGGAGTTCCTTGGAAGGACTTAAAGCCCTGACGTATTAACAGATTCCTGTTTCTCCTGCCAGAGCAGAGCTTAGTCTCATCCAAATAAACCAGATGGCAATCTAAATGTTTTATTTAACAAAGCAACTCAATTAAAAACAGATTGTTATTTGCTATGACTGGCTTGCTAGAGGCAAAAGCCCTCGTGTGGAATTCAATATTGACTTTAGAGTCACCTCCACAAGCAACACTGAATGTTGTTCACAAAGACCCACGATCTGTGTTTTTTTTTTTTTTTTTACAAACTTGATGAAAATGTTTCACTTATCGCTGGAATTTTCTGCTTTTGATCCTTATCAGTTAATATATCCAAACTTTTTCAATCCCAGGTGGGCTTTTTATGAATTCAAACCTGACACATCAGATTGGAGCAGCATGCAGACGCCCCTGACAGACACCCTCGACAATTATCTGCCACCTTCACTTCTTCTGATCACATCAGATTTTACAGCTGCTTTTGCCGCAGTCACCTTCACAGCAACAGAAATGGTTTGAAGTTCACCAGTCCTCTTTATGCTTCCCAGAACCCATCCCGCCTCACTCTCCATCTGGTCTGACTGTTGAGGGTCGGGGTCGGCCTGTGGGCTGCGAGGGGGCCTCTGGGAGTGGAGCTGCCGCTGAGGTACTCATTGCTTCTTTGGGATTCTCCCTGGATCCAATCACACTGTCAGGCTCGGATAGGAGGCCTGTCTCCCTCGGTAGTTCATTCATCACACACACACACACACATGCACACAGTTTTGTACATCACTCACTGACACATACAGATGGAGACAGAGACATACAGTATAAATGAGCGCCAGGCTTCACACACGCTCCTCACACGCCTGTTGATGCTCCTGACTGCAGAGCAACAGTGGAGCTTGTTTTGATGTGCAGCTCAGGTTCTCTCCTCTCTATCCCGCTCCTGAATTTTGCAGCCCAGCCTCCTCCAGGGAAACTTAAGCTACCTGCTTGAATTCTGTTCCACTTCAGTGATAATCAATTCAAAAGGTACAGTAATATTCCTCTAATGTGAGTAATATTAAAAACACCCAAGGATGCACAACAATGCTCCAATTTAAAAAAAGATTTTGGTGTCAAGGGAGGTTTTCTAGACAGAAGCATGAATGGTATGTGAATCATCCTTAATTTGCTTTAACGTCAGTTTTAAAAACATTTTAAAGTAATTCAAATTGTACACTGATGTTGGCTATAAAAGTATGAAATTCTAAACATATTCCATTTTAAATGGATGTTGGAATAAGCATCCCAGCATCTGAGCCACATGTTTTGTTCATCATCTCATCACTTTTTTGACTTTCATTTTGAGATTTATATGAATTTTGGTTTTACATGCTGTAGTCAAACATAGAGATTTACAGATTTATATTAACCTCTGAAAAGTAAAGGATGTAAGATACTGATATAAAGTTGAAAACTCCTGCACTATCATGCATTGTGTATGAAAAGCACTACACACCCTGAAGTGTACAAAACCCAAAGCTGCCAGACGTGGTCCCTAGATGGCACTGTGTCCTCTGGGCGAGGAAGCAGCCCTGCTGTTTATCATGCAGCCGTGACAGCCTGTAAAAGCTTTTGTCAGAGGAACTGAAGATTTAGAGTCCAGATTAGTGCATTCATATCTTGGCAGTTAATTAGGACTGAGGAGCTAACTGAAAGCTGCTGAGTGATGGAGTGGAAGAATAAGAGGAGGTGTGCTCCCTGCAGCGAGACACAAAGTGCATATATACGCACCTGACTATTCTGCTAATGTATCACTGTGAGCGCCCACTGAAACGTACAAATATGAATGTTTAACTCCCACATGTGACCACTTAGCGCCTTTTTTCCTGTGTGTGAGTGAACATTAATGTAGTTCCAGTGTATGCCAAGCAGACACACACACACACACACACACACACACACACACACACACACACTCCTTTTTGAGGTGTGTGTGTGTGTGTGTCCTTCATAATGCTGGAGTTAAGGTCAGCAGGCTCATATTTTACCTGTCAGGACTGATCACCATCGCCTTCACAGCTGCTTTGCTTCTGTCCATGGAGGATACAGCATCTCTCCTGAATCTTTACGGGGGGGGTGAAGCTGCACATCTTCAATCTATACAGTAAAGCTGTAAAATGCTCCAGCTGCGGACGCTCCCAGAGCTCAAGGTGTTTTACAGCATCAACGCAGAGGGCAACAAAAACAGGTTGAATCTGTTATTACTGCCAGAGCTGATGTATAGCTCCAACAGAGCCGCTGTTTATTTGAAGGCAAAAACAGGCCATAAAGCGTTTGAGTGGAATTAACCAGTTCATTAGTTGAAGTAAAATTTCATGACAGGTCAACTGTCAGCCTGTAAATGCCTGAAGGGGAGCCTTGTTGACGTTCTGCAGACCCTATACAAGGCGCAGGCAGAGCTAATGCACGCAGAAATCCATTTGGAAAAGCCATTAGCAAATGTAAATAGTTTTTTCTGTCAATTAGGATATGAATTATCCTGCCGACATCAGCGGGATTGATATAATCTACTTCTACTAATTTGACTAAAAGGAAAAGTAGTTGCTACACATAAAATCCAATCAATACACTTTGTCAGGCAACAACTGTGTGAGCAAATGGGACGTGCATATCAAGTGAGTACGTTTCCTCTGCAGGCACCCTGCTGCTGTAAATGTGAAAGTGATGAATGGTTGTGTAAACAGCAATACCTCACTGTTTGAGGGTTTCTGTCACTCAGCCTTAAAGATGCAAATGTAGACTTCTTTTCTCTCCATTAGTCAATCGTATTTATTCTCTTGAGCTCATTATGATTGTAACATTACTTGCCAATATATAATAATAAGTTATTTGGGGGAAATATTTGGCTGAACTGTTGTGCTCCTCGTGTATTTTCTATTTCCTTCTGTGCTGATTTATCCCCATAATTACCTTCTCTGGTGCTTGTGTTTGTTCTCGGTTCTTTTGATGTCATTGTTGTGTGTCTCGCAAAAAATTTGCTTTGTTAATCTCTGCACCCTGCACAGTGGAAAAAGTCTTCTTTTTAACCAAGATGTCATTTAACAACATTCTTCTTAAAATAAGACACCGTCTTTGTGGATTATATGATTTCAAATGGTTTGGCTGCTGTCTGACAATCTCCCGTCTCTCTCTCTCTCTGTAGGATCTAAAGATTAGACTGAAATTCATATCCTTTAAAAAAAAAAAAAAAAAAAAAAGCTAATTTTATTTTTCAGATTAAAGTTGGGTATGAGATTAATTGTCTGTGACAGATGCTCCTGATCTTGAGCAAATCAGTTCTGACAGTTGAGAGAAAAAGGTAAAGCACTTCTACCAGCTGGAAGCTCAATTTACACCAGAGCAGATAAACATCGGGTGATTTCAAAATGGCCATATGCTTTAAAAGAAACTAATCATTTATAACAAAACAGCTTCACAGCCATACATTGCTCATCACTTATATATGTTAAATATGAGTGGGTAACAAAGGTGAAATAGAACTGTTCAAAGCTGATTCTGACTCTTTGGCATCTATTTTATGAAATAAAAAGTAGAATAACAGAGAAATTCTAATTTAAATTTGCATTTAAAAACTAATCCTTTTAGATTTCAAAGTCTGGCCTGGCCTGAGCCCTACCAGCCATACTGGTTAACGCGGTCCATGTGAGTATCTACACATGTTCAAGAGCTGGACACAAACTTCCTGTGGGTGCTGTTTGGTACCGTTTGGGTAACGTTTATTGGGTTTAGGAGGTCATTTCTGAATTGGCAGTTGGCAGCCTGAGTGATGAGAATGAACCAAAACAATCTGCAACAATACTCTGGACGTCACCTTGTAGTGTGAAGAAAAAGAGTAAAGTATTAATCCTCTATATCATGACATGTCACCCTTTCACATCAGAATTTATAGTGAAGTGTATTTCAGTCCGATGAAGCGCTGATTAGATGTCATTTCTGGCTGAAATCCATGTTGTTTTCTCACATATTAACTTTTTATTATGTTGACTCATACAGAACACATTTCTTCACATTCCGCTGAAGACAAAAAAAAAGAAGGAATATTGAAATGTGGCTCTGCCTAAGTTGTAAAAAATAGTCCCTCAGTGGCAGAAATCCCTGTTGGCCTCCTTGTTCCCATTGCCCGTGGCAGGATGAATGAGTTAATATGTAGTCATAGTCGAGCTGGATATACTCACACACTCCGCTCTGATATCCTACATCAATGGGCTATTGCAAGTTAATGACCGGCTCTGTGAAGGCCCATTTGCGCGAAATATGGACGGTGTAAAGAGGGGCTGGGAGAGCAGGTGCTGCTGCCATTGAGTGGCTCATAACCCGGCCATATGGTGGAGGAGAATCTCATTTGGCTGTGCGCTCGCACAAAAGCCTGACTTTAAAGGAACCCAAAGCCATTTCTGTGCTGTTGTGACGACTCGGACCCTCTAATAACCCTTTTCTCCACCCACTTCCTCTTTCTCTCGCTGCATCGATGAACAGTGTATGAATTTGCATATTCATCTATAGGTGAATGATAAGTGTTGAGCTGCACTGCCTGGGACTTCATCTGAATGGAAATGATAGCACTTTTTGGTCTAAAAAGGAAATCAGTGAAGTGACAGCAAAGGGATGAGGAGAATCTGTGTGGTTTGGGTGAATAGTCTTCAGTGTAGATGGTATCTATCGCCATCTCTCTTGGCGCTCTTGGTCTCTAAAACCACAACACATGATGAGTAAGTGACACGCCGACCCCGCAGTCTCACGTACAAGAAGTTTGGGAACAACATTTTTTATTTCTGGGAATTGTTTGGAGTCAAAGGAGCAGAAGACAATAATAATTAACTGGTTTGAAAAAAGCCAAGTACCAACACAAAAAAAATCAAAGTGAACATACACACTGACTGATTCGGCATGAAAACGAATGAGAACAAATGAGTTCAGTTATAAATAATGACATAAAAAAAACCCAACAGATTGCCGGAAGAGAATGTCATAAAAATGAGACATGAAATTAGCTACACGATTACAAAAACAAAAAAAACAAAAACAAAAAAGACGAGCTTAGCAGACGAAAACATTGATGTCAGATAAAAAAAAAAAAAAAAGTAAGAAAAAAATCACCTGTTAGTCAGTTAGGTGCTACCAAAAGATCTCCAAATCCATCATAATTCTTATTTATTCTTTTGTTCTGTTTTTAAATTTCCAATAAAAAAATAAATAACATGATGAAAGTAATTTCTGAATAGGGAGGAGTCCCTGATATGAGATCAGAGGGAGGTGTTTTCTATTTGACTGACAGCTTCCCTTGGTCAAATATTCATGCGACTGAAGAGAAACACCATCCAGAGAGACTAGACGTCTAATCTAACAACGTTTGCTCCACGCCTTAAAACAAACCATCCTGTGTGTGCACATCATCATTTTTTATCTCCAGGCGTCCCCGGCCAAACAATAACAATGATGTTTTTTTATGTCATGTTGCTACAGCAGGGAAAATCAAATGATGTCTCTATACAAGAAAGAGGGTTTGACAAAAAATCAACAGAAACTGGAGTTTTCTGTACAATATTGACCTGCAAAGCACGACGGCTATGATGTAATAAAATATGTAAACATATTTGCTGATTTTGACACAGTCATAGAATCACACTTGATCACATTTAAATGAGTCTTCAGCCTGGATTTTCTTCCTTTTTTTTAAAGATTGGAACCATAAAGACATAAAATATGACAATGCATTTTTTTTGCAACAGCATCTCTGGAAATGTGAGAAAAACTGGACGGAAAAAAATGATCTGAAAGGAAAGAAAACAAATTCAGAGAAATTACAATGTATTGTGCACTTTTGCCTGGCGGATCCACGTTTGCACGCTTGAAGAACTATTTAGACTTTGGATGCCATTAATAGCAGTCCAATCAGAGATGTGGGGGGGGGGGGGTGAGAGAGAGAGAGAAAAACATGAAGATACATGACTGTATCACATCCTGCTGAGCCGTCACTGAGCACTGCCTGGTCAACCCTGACTGGACATCATCCTTCAATATTTTTTTTTAACCTAAATTCAATAAATAAATAAATAACTGCCTAAATGAATAAATAAAAAAACAAACAAATACAGAAATAAAAAGACAGCTAAAAGTACACATATACTTTAGCTCACATCGCGTCCATGAAAGCTACATTGAACGAAACCATTTGAAATGTGAACTCATGTTTTGACTTCCAACTTTCCCCGACAATCATAGTTTCTTGAGGTCCCTCACTTACACAGATGCCAGCACCACATCACATACACCTCACATGCATGCTCAGAATGGCCGAAATGACAGTGAGCGTATTTTACAGGGTTACAATGGACAAGGTCGTCAGAACTCCAAGGATCACACACCTCTTGACAGTCACTTTGGGGGTCGTGTGGATGTTCCAGTGATGTTATTCACACTGCCAAAAGTCTCCAGTAGGGACTCTTGAAAAAGATCCACACTGAGTCCTGCTGAAGTCAAACTGCATTGTCTCTCAGTAATGCTTACAATAGTAAGTGGGCTGCCTTAGCCAAAGTTCTTTTGTAAATGTTTCAGGACTCAGAAGAGTTCTCAGGAGATTTTATCCTTTTTAAATCACAGTTGCCAATATGGTACTGTCAAAATGTTTATAACTTTGTTCCAAACAGTTTTTTTCTATGTGTTGGGAAATGATCTGATTTCTTTCTATACATAATATTCCTTGTCCTTGTCTTTCGGTCTCTTGCTACTAGCGCTGCCTTTGGCGCTGCCGCTGGGCGTTTTATCTTTCACCACAGCGCCATTGGTTTGTGCCGAGTTGCTGATGTAGTTGCGCGTCTCGTCCACCTGGTAGGAACCCTCGTCCCTGTTCCTGTACTTGTACATGGCGTAGAGGAGGATGAGGATGCAGAGGGCGGCCGCTGAGACGATGCCCACCACCATGCCCGTTGTACTGCTGGATTCCCGGATAACCTCTGAGGCCCCCGGGGGAACCCGCCGAACCACTCCAGGCACGGTGGGCAAGGCGGCGGGCACCGTGCGCAGCATGGGCGAGGTGATGAAGGGACCCCGCGGCTTGGTGCCGTCCAGATCGAAGGACGTGGGCAGGGGCAGCAGGACTATGTCCGGCTGTAGGGGTTTTACCTCGCGGTTGTTCATTTTCCCGGCGGGCAGCTTGGGTGGCGTGTCCGAGGGGACCGCCGCCGGCGGCGTGCCCCGGGGGTCGGGCAGAGGCGAGGTGGGTGTAGTCCTACCTGCCTCAGAGGCTTTGCTAGGCCTCAAGTCCTTGGCCTCCCACTTGGGCGCGAGGGCTTTGTAGCCGCCTTCATAGGCCGATGTGGTCAAGATCTTATCTGTTACCAGGGAGAAGGTGGTGTAAAAATCTTCATCGTCAGTCGGGGGCAGGCTAGAGTCGAAAGCTTCGCCAGAGCCAAACCCCGATATCACCATGCCATCATCATCATCATCATCACCATCATCACCACCATCACCATCATCACAATCATCGCTGCCTCGGTCCGACAAGCAAGGTACCCCCGCCTCAGTGGCCATGGCCAAGGACTCTTTGGTGGTCTCAATAATGGTGAGGACGGGGCGGAGGGTGGGGGGGAGGGGGATGAAGGGAGAACGGGTGGATACAGAGGGGATGTCTATGGGGTCCTCGACTAGTATGGGGATGACTAGCTCCCCTCCTGAAAGTGAAAGAGAGAAAAAAAAGCACCAATCAGAGGGCAGAACAACATGAAGAAGCAGCCAAACACCAAAAAAAACAAAAAAAAAAGACCAACCAATAACCAGAGAACGAATAAAGCAAAGCTCAACAAAAAAAGAAATGAACTGAAAGAAAGGAAAGAAAGAACGGAAATACTGTACCAGTGCAAAAACAATGAAACTCAGAACCAAACAAGACCCAAACTGAAAGAAAACAACAGCCATAAAGAAGGTTACATTGCATCAAAAGGCTTTGAGGGATGCACAGGGTGAGCCACGTTAAAAAGACTCCTACATGTTCTGTTCACATAGAAGTATGCTTCATTTATACCGCTGTCGACACTATTCTGCTATATATGCTGCAATCATAATTTACCATGAACATTTAGAATAAGATGCGAGTTACGCTAAGTGTCACATATATTTCGGCCCTATCTTTAGAGCTATGTGATACCACTGCTCATTTCTCCACATTAAATACTCGCTCAGGCTTTTAAGAGGCTTGTTTTGTTTATATTGGAGTCTAAATCCTTTTGAGTTTGTTCAAAAACTGAGCAGCAGAAGATGCACTCTGTGGACAAAAAGAAGCAGAGGGTATTAGCATTTGTCTGCGAGCCAGTGGGCCTGAAAGCAAGCTAACTAAGTCTGAAATGAGAAACTGTTTTGTAAAGTGTGTCATAAAGCGAGTCGGAGAGGTTCTGTTTAACCATTTTGACCGACAGGTGCTAACAGACACTAACAGCTGCTGAAACACAAAAGCTGAAATAGTTTCAGAAAAGTAAAGAAAAAAAAAGGAGAGGCACATGTTTGTCTGTGTGTGACTAAACATGACCTCAAGCCTCTTAAGAACCCTGATTCGCACTCTAAGTCTATCGGAGGGTCACACGGTTAACTTCAAACGAAGACCGAAGCAGCAAAAAGTTACCTCTCTCAAGTCATGGAAGAAAAGGAGGGAACTTCTTGCCTCAGCGTTAGTGGGCTCCCCCTATTTGCCCTAGCCTCTTGCCTTTTGACCCCTACAGTCACCACAATGGCACAAAGTCACCTGGCAGTTCACTGACACCTGAATGTTTGCTGATTAGTACGTTTCATCAGAGAATCTGGCCTGTAGCAGCTCATGTTCTCCAATTTATAATATTAGATTTTTCATTACAGTGTGCTCAAAACATTTTTTACACATGCATTAATTGGAATAAACCCACTGATGAACACTTGATCCTTTAATAGTACAAACCTGTCGTTTACTACAAAGAGTGTGAAACATTCAGATGGCCATTGAAGCTGCTTATCCTCTTGCCAAAGTGGCTTGTTTGTACATTGCAAAGGCTCACAAACAGGGCACTATAAAGAGATGCAAACCTTTGGAACAATAAAGAAAAGAAGACAACGGAAACAAAGGAAAAAATAAATAAAGAAAAAGAAAATAATAAGAATTATAATAATAAGGCATTGCAAAAAGAGTCCAGAGTTAGAGCAAACATTGTAAATAAAAGAAAACATTCACAAAGTAAAGACACAGATAGAGCTTTCCAGAGAGGGATTAGTAATAGGTAAGTAGAAAAAACAGGTAAAAAAAACAAAGTCAGCTCGGAAAATCATAAAAGCCTACCAAAAAAAGAAAAGAACGTTTTCAAAGGAAGAAAGCATACCATCAGTTTCGTCAACTTACATCAACAAATTGCCCGCATGATTTTGGCAGGAAGAAAAAAAAAATTTACAAAAGAAAGTTGTGTAAGAATGCCTTTGGACAAGTTAGGTTAGTTTCTTTTTTTAAGCAGTTTCTGATTAAGTAGTATATATTTCTCTTTTTAGACAGGATGGCACAGGGAGGCAACAACACATACATCCACACATCATGACATGAAAAATAATCTTCACCATTCTGTTCAGGATAACTTTTTTATCGTCTTTTTTTTAAATGTAATTTTGTATCAAAAGAAAACTGTATATTTATAGCTCTTGCTTATAGATAAGTCTCTCCATAAATATCTACAGCCATATTAGATGACTCTTTTCTTTTTTTTTTTTTCTTTTTTGCTCGACTTAAGCTTCATCAGTGATGAACAAATGGATGACTGTACATATCTTAGAGTCTTAAAGGGTTCGGGAGGAGGGGGTGTGAGACGGGGGTGGGGGGGGGGGTGGACCTATGAACATACTAGGAAGGAAATGACATAGATGGGGGTGAACGTGTACATCAGTTGCCATGTCCATGTAAAGGCGGCACGAAGCGGTCGGGCGGCATTAGAGCTTTTGGCTGTAAGGAAGGGATGGGGATATACAAACAATGAGCATATACATGCCCATCTACAAAAGAGAACAGCACTCTCAACACTGACAGTTTTACAAACCCTAAGCTGCAACTTCTTTGCCATGCACAAAATTAATCGACTTGTTGATTTAATCCAAATTTCAGATAAAGCTATGACAGTAAAATTATGAGAGATCAGCAGAGAAACAGTCTGGAACAGTTTTCACAGATAGGGTTTACTTTGGAGGAGTCTTCTCTTTTTTCTCTATGAGGATGTGATTTTGCAATCCCAATAGTTTAAACCTGATCTTTGAAATGTTTGTGAATTTGTTACTAAGTCATAGAGAAAAGAGGAAGTTTTATTCTAATTAGGGTTAAAAAAAAGTCCTTCAAACATTTGCAAAAGTGATTCTTATCAAATTAGCAGATAGTTAAAATTTAAACATTTTCAGAAAAGAAAGAGAGATACACATATATGTGTGCTTTAACATATATGTACAAAAAGAAAAAGACAAAAATAAAAAAACAGATTAGCAAGCAAGAAAGAAAGGCACTCAATTTGTCACACTATCAAAGATGAACAACCAGAAAGCACACACTGAGGCAGACAAAGAGAGGGGGGGACAGTTTATAGGCAAAGTGTCACCACCTTCATTTAACTAATAATAAAAGCTTTATTATTAGTTACTTCAATACATTTCTCTTGTTAGTATTTAAAACACAGGACAGGGCGTGCAATCTGGATGTACGTCAGAGAGAGAGAGAGAGGTCAATCAGACATGGTTTTATTTTGGATTTTAGTTCCACTTGAATACGTTGGGTTAATGCATGCTTAAGTAAGTTGCATTTAGGGAGAGTAATATACAAGAACATATACAGCAAGCCATGGGGACAGGAAGAGGAGGGGCTTAGGAAAGGGGTCAGTAAAAAGTCACTGCCACCGAGGGCTGTGGGATATTTCCGTCAGGCAAAGAAACCATTCATCAAGGGGGAGCAGGTGCATTATGGGTGATGTATAACCAACATTAAGTGCCGTTTAGGCCCACAGCATTCGCTAATTAATCAAGAGGGGAGGTGGAGAGATAATTAATGAGCTACTTCTTTTTATTATTAAATGTTCAGATGCTTTGTGTTATGTGCATAACCAACAGCCTTCGTTTGACGGAGAAACAGCGTGTCTGGGGAGGAGTTCCACAAGAGTGCACAGGACAGCAAGTTTATTTGTGAGTGTGAAGAGTGAAAGGAGACGCGAGGGGTTCGTTTGTCTTCAGGTATCAGGTTTTGGGTTCCTTGTTTTCAGGATGGTAACAGAAATGTCATTACTTAAGTGAAAGTGGGTTTAGAATCGAAGCATTATTGAGGAAACATACTGTATCGACTCTGTTATCAACTCGGATGTCTTTAATGTGGTTACCCTGATGTGTCTGACTGTGCACCAGAGAAGGAACTAACGTCTAAAAGGCGACTGTATATCCTACTGCTCATGTTGCATGACAAGCTTGATTTTCTAATAACGGATGAAGAGTCTTGTTCAACAAACAAATCCAGCACAGAGTAATTTATTCCGAGCCTTTATTTACTCATCTCTGCCCTTGTTGTCTTGGCCTTGTTTGCATCCTTCCGCTCTGTTCTTGGCTAACAGCTCTCTGCAACTGTTAGCTTAGTGCTAAATCAACAAAACACTTGGATGGGAGGGGAATCGCTGCAGCAAAGGGTCTCTGGTAAAGTCAGTGCAGAGGACCTTGATGTTTTGGTAAACACTTTAATCCTGTGTAAGCTCTTGCACAAGCGTTGCACATCTTGCTGCATTTCTGAGGCAGACAAACACCGCGCTTTCTAATGGGTTTGCTTAACCAGACTGCGTTTGTTTTCTGCACTCGTAAAGATGGATGGGGATTTCATTCTAAGCCTCACTGGCAAATAATTCTCCACTGTGCCAGACCTACAGGAAGATACTTTGTTTTCTTTCTTTTCAAGCAACAGGAAGTCAGGACTTTAGATTAACAAGTGTCTCATCGCACCAGTGCCTATTGGATAGCTTTTGGATCAATGGGAAAAAACAATCCTATCTGTATGAATCACATAAATGAGAGTGAAAACAAACTCAATATCTTAAGGATTCTGCTTTTCATCATTCCACGAGAAAGACACTTTCTGCTGCATGCCCACGCTTTTCAAGAGGTATTAAGTGAGTGTAGTTACTTCTAAATGGCTGATTGACTGACTACCTCAGCAGCTGTGAGGATACAGATGCAGAAATCTCAGTGCAGCACTTTCTCTTCTCTTTCCCCTCACTCTCTTTTCTCTCTCTTCTTCCTCCTGGCCTGATCCCCGTGTCCATCCAGCGATTGCTGAGGCTTCCGAATGGAGATGAAACCCGACGGTGTGTTGGGGATTTGACGACGCCACGCCATAAAAGCGGAAAGTCGGTGCACCAGCACCAACCAAGGATGAACTGAGTCAAGGGGATTTCAACGCAGCAAATTGTAGGTGAGTCAGTGGTTTGGGGGCCTAAAATCCCATTGTTGCTTTGCACATTGTTCACAGAGACCTGCTTTAGCAGATTCATTTAACTGTACCCTACCTACAGGTAGGGAGCTGATCACTGGGGAGCCAGCAAAACATGGAGTCTTAGTGTGGACACACTTAAAGGGACATGCCAGGGATTATATTGGTGCCATGTTGTATAGTACAACTTTCTGGGAACATGTACCGTAACTCACGCTCTGC